TTTTTTGGACATAATGAGCAGTACTATCAAAAATGCTCTTCTCAGTCCAGTGGTTGACAGAAGCTACCTTGTCAATTCCTTTTTATGTACGTCATTTTCACCCAGACAGGCAAAGCTGTGAATTTCATAAGAAGATCCTAGGATACTTTTTGACACAATGCCATTGTTTGATTTCCTGCTTGCGCTGGAACCATGGTCCCCAAGATTATTCCTTGGCAAAGTGTTGGTGCAGGCATGAAGCAAAAAGGGTGTTTGTGGATATCTGCTATTGTATAAAAAAAAATTATTTGAAATAGAAATATATGTTTATTATGGCTGCAGAGAGTTCCATAATTCATCATCTAAACCAGCCTTTCTCAATCAGGGTTCCACCAGAAATTGATCACCATTGTAAGGAGCATTCTTCTCAATGACCTCAAATTTAAGAAACCTTCTTCCCACTGACCTCAAATGTACAGGACATTCTTCCCAATGGCCAATGCATGGAACATTCCTCCCACTTACCTCCAATGTAAGAGACATTCTTCCACATGGCCACCAATGTAAGAAGCATTCTCCCTATTGACAATATAAGGAGCACTCTTCCCAATGGCCACCAATGTAAGGGCCATTTTTTCACTGACCATCTGTGAGCTGAAGATAGTAATTATTAACAGGGGTTCACTGAAAACTAAAAGTGAATTCAAAGGTTCCTCCATCTGAAAAAGGTTGAGAAAGGCTTCTTTCATAGGAATTTAAGGAAGAACTATTACACCATTAAAATTACACTTTTTTTGTACTAGCTCTTGCTTTAAGACCTGTCAGTAAAGATTAAAGCTTGTCCCTGCCTGTTCTCTGTGTGGAAGCAGGGGTCTCTCTGCAGAGGTCTGACATATCTCCTCTTGAGTCAGACCTATACCTTTTGCAATCAACAAAGCTCATGCTTTGTGCTGATTGGAGGGCTCTATCAGGGGGTGAGTTTTACCTCTGCAGAGAGACTGCCTTCACTCAAAGAACAAGGGTTTTCTTCTGCAGCATACTAGCAGGGGATAGGCTTTTTCCCTCTCAAGAAAATGAACTGTACGAATTTTAAACTCCTTTTTGTTTTAAACTAATTTAAATTAAAGTTTTAATTGGGATTTAATAATTCCCCACCTTCTATAAATGTTTTCAATGACTGCAATTACTCCCTACTGTTTTCCTATCACTCAGTAACTTTTCATTAGACCTGTCTGCCTTGTATCCAGCAGCAGCAAGAGATCCTGGCAGCCAAGAGGCAGCAGGAATTGGAGCAGCAAAGAAAAAGAGAGCGGCAGAGACAAGAGGAGGCTGAGAAACAAAGACTGGAGCAACAACTCCTGATACTCAGGAACAAAGAGAAAAGTAAAGAGAGTAAGCTAGGGAGAGGGCAAAGCAGAGCTTAAATGGGGGGCTGGTTTTGATTGGAGGGCAGTCATTAGGTTTTCTGTTCAATGGTGGTTTAATCTAAGGTCCCCATCTGTGATTCTATGTCCCACCAAGGTGCCATAGCCAGCACAGAGGTGAAGCTCAAGCTTCAGGAATTCCTGCTCAGCAAGTCTAAAGAGGTGCCAGGAACTGTAAACCATTCCATCCTACAGCACCCAAAATGTTGGTGAGTTCATTTGCTCAAGTCTTTTCATCGCTCTCATTTTAGCACTATCTGTGGTTGCTTTCTTCTAAAAAAAACAAACCTGTTTTCCTAATAATTTTAAACTACCCCCGCTGAGCTACAGCAAGAACTGTCCGGTGCAGTAGGTACCATGGGCTCCTTTTACGTGTCCTCGTAGCACCTGAACAGAGGACATGTGCATTATGTAAATACAGACATTCCCAGAGGTCCCACATAGCATGAATCGGGGTCTCCAAACTTTTCAGCACGAAGGGCCACATCATCAATTTTACAAGTATTCATGGGCAGACACCTAGTCCCTCTTACATCAGGGTCTCCATTCTATCAGTGTCCCCTCTTACACCAAAGTCCCCATCAGAGTTCCCCTTACCACTGTAAGGCTTACAGTCTGGTTGGGAGCCTGGAAATGGAGAAAGTCTAGATTGAGGAAGTTCGGTCCTCCTGTCATTGCTGGGGCAAACATGTCGAGGTGGGGTGGATGAACCTGCATTGAAGGAAGGGGCGTAGAAGCAGAGACCAAAGGCAACCTGTGCTGCACATTGAGTGTACATCACTGACTCTATCTGCAGACCAAATAAAGTCATGTAGCAGGCCCATATGCTGTAGTTTTAGGACCCTTGGCATAGATGGCAGGTGGCTCAGTGATGAAGTGCCATACCTCTAATCTACAAGAAAGATGATATTTGCATAACTTGGTCCTCTGGTCCACACTTTAAGAAGGCCCCAATACCTATTTACAACTTTATGCCTACTGTCTCTCTTGATGCCTACTTTTAGCAAATATAGCTGCATTTTAAGGGTTTAATTTGAACCACTTTAGTGCTACTTGTATATATTTCCATATTAGTATGCGCTGTGGGACCTTTTCCCTGCTGATATCTCACTGCCTTTATTATACCATCCGCTGACCTTGTCTCCATCCATTAGGGGAACTCACCATACCTCACTAGACCATGGCTCCCCTCCTCAGGCTGGATCCCCAGCTACTCCTCCCTCTTACAAGATGCCTCTACTGGGAACCTGCGATGGGCGAGATGACTTTCCTCTTCGCAAAACTGGTAAGTTCTCCCAAAAGCTGTGTTTATATACCAAGAAAGCATTGAAGCTAGGGAATCAGCATGGCAGCCAGGCAACTAGTCAAGGGGGAGGAGGGTGCAGTTTCCCATGTTCACCCTGGGCACTGGATGGCCTTGTCCTGGCACTGCTGAGCACTACGTGGCACTGGAGTTGTCCTGCTGCCCAGCTGCACAGTTGTGACCCCTTGTTTGAAAATCATATTTTATCATCCAATAGATTTCCTAAAAGGGGCTATAAAAATGGACTCATTACATACAAAAAAAGTTTATCTATATTGACAGCTCTTTAACTCTTCTCTTCCAGCCTCTGAACCTAATCTAAAAGTCCGCTCACGGTTAAAGCAGAAGGTTGCAGAGCGACGTAGCAGCCCCCTCCTCCGCAGGAAGGATGGAACAGTCATTAGCGCTTTCAAGAAGAGAGCCATCGAGATTCAGGGTCAGTGTCCATAGTTCCTGCTGTGGCTACTTCGCCATAGTGGCTTGTCAGTAATCTAGTGTGCTTGCCATCTAGGCCAGATTAACAATCTGTCTGCTCTTGCGTTTCTCAGAAAAACTAGTTTGGGTGACAATTATTGTGGGCTGGCTTGCTATTCTGTAAATTCAAGTCAATTGTATAATAGCGAAATGGTGAAAGATTGTTCTGATTGGTTAAAAAGGGGTTATGGCACTTTATTTGTATGAATCCTTGGTAGAGTAGTAGTTGTGAGCACATACAAATTATTGGTTCACTGTTCTTTTCAGAGATTTGCTACGCCAACATGAGCTGCAAGTATGCTTTGTTTGCTAGACAGCTGCTTTCCCTTGGTCTGGCACAGCTACGATCTTCCAACTTTCTCCATCCCCCATTAAACGTACACCTCTTTATTAATCACTACCTATCATGGGCTGCTTAAAGCTGATAATAGACAGTACAATTTGATTGTACAATCTCCTTCAGGTCTCCTAACAATGATGTAGTGCAAGGGCCTGTTTGATTGGATACAGTTTTAATATTGGGCTGTTTAGGTAGGCCATCAGTTTAGTTTGGTTTAGAGATTGGACAATCAAACTGTAATGTGCATGGCCAGTTTTAGAAACCCGCTCTATCATTATTGATATGATATAACTCCTCTTGCAGTGTCCTCAGTATGTAATAGCGCCCCCGGATCAGGACCCAGCTCCCCAAACAGCTCAAATAGTGCCATCTGTGAGAATGGATTGACTGGGAGTGTGCCCAATATTGCCAGTGAGGTAAGTGGAGAGACGGAGGTCATGGCTGTAGCAAGTTTGGACAATGGTAAATTAACAGGGAAAATTGTCATTCTCGATTGACCCTATTTTGGTAGGAAGGATATAAGATTAGCAATGTGTGCCCATCGTTGGGGCTTGTTTGGACAGGGGATGGGGAAAACATATATATACTTTTAAGGGAGATGTCCAGGCCAATAAAAAAAAAACATAATGCATATCTGAAGGCTGAATTCCAGGCAGACAGCTTACTTCTTCATTAAAAAATATATGGGAGATTTTACACAGCTCTGCCACACAGCACAGCCAGGTAGTAACATCACTTTTCTATACTGCAGTTAAGCAACACAGATTGGTCACCTCCCCACCCCCAGTCTATGATTGGATAGTGAAGGAGCAGCAGCAGACTGAGAAGCTCATCACTCTTCCCTTTCCTCCTGTCAATATGTTTTCGGCACACCTTTTTGATTCCTACTCCTGCCCCTACTTCTTCAAGTCCACAGGGTATTGCACAAGGCTGATACTAAGTCAAGTTCTGGTACTTAGGCTAGTTGCATTTCAAAACAAATGCAAAAAATTTTAATTAATTCAAAACTTTTTTTTTAATACCAGCCTGGAGTTTGGCTTTGAATATAAGCCGGTTCACTTGTGTCTACTTTTGACATTTAGATGCCTCATGTGGTAGAATCAAATTATTCAATAACGTTTGGAGACAAAAGCAGGAAATAAAGCCTCTGACACTTTCCTGTTTCTATGTGCATCACACACAAACTAGACATTGCAAACAATGCAGTTCTATGCAGAGCTAACCTCTTCCCATCATCAAAACACCTTGATAAGAGGGATGCCCTCAGCTTCAAGGTGACTGTTTTTTAAACATCAGGGCAGGTCCTGTACAGTCACTAAAAAGGAACACAGCCCTGACATTGTATGCTTTTATTTTGTGAGTTAAAAAAAAATCTTTAAAATGTTTGTGTTGAGCTATGTTCTTGGTGTTCAGTAATTAATAATGGTGTCCACACTCACAGATTTTGCCTCAGCAAAGAGTCCTTACGTTAGAAGGGACAGGAGGGCCTTTGGGCCTATACACATCTCCGTCTCTACCCAACATCTGCCTACAGGGAAGCTCCAGCAGCCTCAGTGTGAGTACCTGTATCACCATTCCAAACAAACTGACTGTAGCGTGACCGTCAGCAGCTTTTAAATGGAAACCTTTACCTTTTCTATAGTTTGTGGTCGAATATTGCATATATGTACAGGTAAACAGGTTACAGTCAACATGGTTGGGAGTTTAGAATGTTGGTTGAACATCAGCTGAACTAAAGGCCTTGGTGGGCTTTCCATGGCCTTGGAGGTGGAGAGGTCACTTGGTGGGCATGCGGGGCAGATAACTTGTGAGATGGACCTTGGTGGGCTTTCCATGGCCTTGGAGGTGTAGAGGTCACTGGGAGGGAATGCAGAGGACAGAAAACTTGGGAGAGAGACTTTGGTGGGCTTTCCATGGCCTTGGAGATGTAAAGGTCAATGAGCGGGAATATGGAGCAGAAAATACATGGAAGAGAGACCTTGGTGGACTTTCCATGGCCTTGGAGGTGTAGAGGTACTAGGAGAGAATGCAGGGGAGAGAGAACGTGGGAGAGAGACCTTGGTGGGCTTTCCATGTCCTTGGAGATGTAAAAGTGAATTGGTGGGAATATGGGGCAGAGAGAACTTGGAAGAAAGACCTTGGTGGGCTTTCCATCACCTAGGAGATGTAGAGGTCACTGGGTGGAAATGAGGAGCAGAGAGAACTTGAGGTAGAGACCTTGGTGGGCTTTCCATGGCCTTGGAGGTGTAGAGGTCACTGCGTGGGAATGCAGGGGAGAGGAAACTTGGGTAAGTTGAAGGAATAGGGAAAAGTAGAAGGGGTGGGAAAAGAAGATTTTAAAAAGGAGTGGGAGGAGAGAAAAAGGTCAGGGGAGAGGGGAGTGTTGCGTTAAAGCCAAACAGTCAGCAAGGTGGAGTCAAAAATTGAGGGCAGACAGTGCATAATCCAGGGTGCCTAAATATTTTGGGAAACTTGTGATGCTGTATTGTGGTTAGGCTGACCATACACTGATAATTTTTAATTTTGCTCAGCCTGCAGGCTTCCTGTATGAGAGAATCTACAGTGCCGGCTATTGTTTTTTGACAGCCGTGCTAGTGTCAGAATACCAGAATACGGACTGCATCTGGATGGATGCAGGTGCTGGTCGCCCCCAAAAATTTTCCTTTTGGCTCCTTCAATTTTCCTTTGAAGGATACAGGGTGGGAATGTGCCAACAGGGCCACTCACAGAGCAAATTTTGTTCAGTGTATGGCTTTATCGTATTCCATGCATTGGATCTTGCACAATTTCAACACATCCATAGAGATACGAGGTGGTTTCTAGGCAATGGCAATGGGCTGGTGAATGGGTTGTTATTTTTTGTGCAGGAGGGTGGCTAGTCCTTTAAAGTGCTTCCTAGGGGTACATTTCAAGAGATCCACCCAGTAAACTGGAAAAATGTGGTGTGTAAAGTGATAGAATAATGTGTTTACCAAACCGCTCCACCAAATTTGGAAGTAGGTATCATTTTCATGGCAGCTCCTGAAACAGTAGGGAGAATATCCCAGCACTGCCCAGGAACATTAGTCAACATTTTTAAGATGCACATGTTAAAGAGATGCGCTTTATGTAATCTTCAGTATCAATGTGTGCATTCATATTTTTAAAATCCTTGTTTTTTTTTTTTGCATCGTTTGTGTCTATACAAAGGATACCCATGTTGCCTTAGTAGTGCTGCAGAAAATGTGTGCTCTGCTACCTGTTATCTCTCATCTGATTAAAAACAACAGTTTTTAATAAGGTGAAATACCCTCAGTGCTCCTAGTAGCCAGAGATCATGTGACCTAAGCTGCCTGGAGAAGTTTGGAAGCAGAGGTTTTTCTTATACATGATAAGCAGGAGTCAGTTTTTCAAAAATTATGTGATATTTAATAATGCTGGTGTGTGCCCCAGTGTCATGAGAAGTGAGAGCCATAAGGAGAGGATTACTGCAAAATACCTCCTATTGTTGTAAACATTGCATTGATTTCGCTAATTATTTTTAATAGGGTCAGTTTACCCCCCAGGAGGGGGCTGAACGCCAAAGCTTGAGGCCGGGTGGTCCTTTCCTCAGCACCACGACCCTTCCTGCCCTGGATGGAGGGGAGCTCAGTTTAGGCGCACCATCCCTCCTGCAGCATGTCCTCCTATTGGAACAAGCCAGGCAGCAGAGTGCCCTTATAACAGGTATATGTCTCTCGCTTATGTACCTTTCTCTGTCTTCACTGTCCATAATCTATGCTTCTTTCTTGTACTATGTGTCCCTGTTAGGTTATGGTCCTTTTTATAAGGTTGGTCCACCTAAAACTGATAAACCTTTCTTGTCAGTTTTACTGTTGGTTCCTGGTGTGCTGTGGGCATTATAAGGGGTTCCCACTATCCCAAATTGATCATCTTAATTGGTTTTGTGTTATGGAGAATGTAACAGGAGGATCTGAGACACACAAAGGTGGGCAAGGACACCCAAACCACCCAAGTGGACAGGAACAGAGTCAGGATTTATGACATTGAGATCTTGTTGTTGGAGTATCCAAGGCCTATGAGATGCCACCTGGCTTAGTCATTAAAAAAAAAAAAATAAAACAGTGTCCCTTCCCTTTTTAGGTTAACTAAATATAATTCAAGGAGTTTTAGCAAGGTTAGCAATCATATTCCAGATACTTAGCTGATTCTGACCTGCTTAGAGTTTGCAGAATGGAAGTTTGTATGGTGGTGTGCAGTCAGCGCAGAGCTTGCCCACCAAGTAGAGGCAAGGATCTTTCTACTGAGTTTCCGCTAATAAACTTAAACCTATTCCAATTTATGTAGAGAATGTTATTTTAATAAAGGCCTTTGTCAATGCACTTTTATTTGCATCAAATGGGTTTTGCATTTCCATACGGATTTACGGTAATGCAAACTCCACTTGAGACAGGTCAGCTGCAGGTCAATTGTACCTGTCAGTTGGTTCTGAATGATCTCAGATGTGTCTTAAACTGAGGTCAGACTGATGCCATCCAACATAAGCCCAAAGCCTATCAACCCTGGCTTCCAAAGACCCTGCATACAGTATGTTCTTTGACATTCCCATAGTTTTCTATGAGCCCTTTCCTTTACACATGTCCACTTGAGATATGAGCCACATAATAAAATATAAAAAATGTTTTCCTTTATTACTATGGTTTAAAGGGCAGCATGTATATATCCTTGATTATCCAATCTAATCTCAGTTTTTATTCTGTTTCCTGCTTTAGTTAGACTTACAAATGTTCTACTTTCTCTGTTTCAGTCCCATTGCATGGTCAGTCTCCCCTGGTGGGGGGAGAACGTGTGTCCAGTTCTTTACGGTCAGTCACAAAAGGCCCACGACATCGTCCGTTGAGCCGCACACAGTCCTCTCCGCTCCCACAAAGCCCTCAGGCCCTTCAGCAACTAGTACTACAACACCAGCACTACCTAGACCAACAGCAGCTCAGCAAGGTAGGTATTAGTGTTTAAGAGCCCACCCTTTGAAGAGACATTGTTTCTAGATTTAGGGAAGTAATGCAAGGCAATGAAATAATCAACTTTGTTAACAGTATTTATAATGCACCTCATTCCCTTATACCTGGACAGGCTTTTATAGTTTCCATTTTATCAGGTAACAAATGTTTATTGTACTGTCTACATCAGTGGTCCTCAAATATCAGGCCCTTGGGGCACTTTTCCTTCCACTAATGAAAGACACCATTCTTCTCACTGACACGAACGATGGGGCATAATTCCTGTTACTGACATCAACAACGGGGCGCTATTTATCCCATTGAAGCCAATGATGGGGCACTATTACTCACGCTAACACCAACAATGGGGCACTATTCCTTCCTCTAATGCCAAATATGTACTGTTTATTCCCAATGGTGCCAGGACAATTGCCACAGTCCGGCTCCCCCTCCCATGTTTGCCTGAAGTTCAGCTTTAGCAACTTGCACACCCATTACAACAACCTAGATAGGTAATAAATAATACTTACTATGTTGAATAACTTGCTGAGTTTTCTTATCATATCCAACATGTTAACAAGATAGAGTTGAGCTTAAAAAATAATTCTACTCAAGCCCTCTATGTTGGTAATTGGTAGACAGTTGTGAGTTTAATAATCCAAAGGTTTCTTATATTTCTTAGGGATTGTAGTGGTAAGAGCCTATATCACCCACTACTGTGTGGCAGTCCTACCTTCCTTATTATACAGGATTATTATTATACAGGATTTATATGGCGCCAACGGTTTGCTCAGCGTTTTACATTATAGTGAGAGAAAATACAGCAACAATACAGTTCAATACAAGAGGGAATTGAGGGCCCTGCTCCTTGGAGCTTACAATCTAGGAGGGAGGGGTGAGTGGTACAATAGGTAAAACTGTGGGGGTTGGAGTGGCTGGAAGCGTAGAGGATTCCAGTATTAGCAGAGGGCGGGATAGGCTTCCCTGAAGAGATAGGTTTTTATTGATCGCTTAAAGGTAAGTAGAGTAGGTGATAGTCTGATAGATTGGGGTAGGGAGTTCCAGAGGATGGGTGACGCCCTGGAGAAGTCTTGGAGACGAGCATGGGAGGAGGAGATAAGGGAGGTAGAGAGTAGGAGGTCTTGCGAGGAGCGGAGTGTACCGTTTGGGTGATATTTAGAGATGACATTGGATATGTAAATTGGGGCAGAGTTGTGGATGGCTTTATATGTCATTGTTAGAGTTTTTAATTTTATCCGTTGGGCAACTGGGAGCCAGTGGAGGGATTGGCAGAGAGGGGTGGCAGATACAGAGCGGTTAGTGAGGTGGATGAGTCTGGCAGCAGCGTTCATGATAGACTGAAGGGGGATAGCCTGCGATGAGGTCAGTCAATGAGGAGGGAGTTACAATAGTCGAGGTGTGATATGACAAGGGAGTGAATAAGTTGCTTAGTGGTTTCCGGGGTTAGGAATGGTCGTATCTTGGAGATGTTGCTTCCTGGTTGGATTTGTCTTCAGTTGGTTGTCAAAAGTGTAGAATCGAGCATTGATACACCTTCCGAGAACTCCCCATGTCAACTAAGTGTCATAAGGGACTTTCCCACCTCATTGTTGGGTTCTATTACAAATATATTATGGAGACTATGAAGAAGATAGTCATTCTCTTCCTGTTGCAGTAAGAGGTGGGCGACTCCATGGCATAGCGTGCAGTCTTAATGCTGGAGCTATTAAAGAGGTATAAGCCGTTAGGGGGTTCTTTAGCCCACCAGTACTCAACCATAGTGGAAGTATTAGTTTCAGGTAGGTTGAGTAACACCATAGGAGTACCCTCAGTGACACATGCAAGTTGTTTCCTATCAGACTGTGGAGGGATTACGCCAGCCTCCCACCCACCCCGAGGAAACAGAGGAGGAACTGACTGAGCAAGATAGTGGAGAACGGTGTCGTGCTGTGTTCACCTTGGATGGAGGCACAGAGAGCGAGGAAACACAAGAAGAGGAAGAAGGAGGGGATGACGATGATGAAGACAGTGAAGAGGGACGGACCAACGGGTCAGAGAGCACGTTCAAAAAGGTATCAATAGCTTCCTTTCAGTATTGAAAGTGACGAAATTAAACAAGTCTGTTATTAGAAGTAGAAGAAGATATGTTTCCTTCTCTGTGAAAAACATTCCCTTTAGGATGATTAACCACACTGCTATGATGTTTGCCAAAATTCCCAGATTCCAGAAGATAGATGGGTGGAACCTGAGCACAAAAAGTGGGCTAGGTTGGAGTAGGGGAATTTTAGGTTAGTGGAGTGTGTCAGATTGTGGCTGATTATGCATAAAGTGGAATGGACTGGAGTTAGACTTGTCCTAAGACTTCACCTGAAAAAGTTAGCAATTACACTATATGACCAAATGTTTGCGGACAATGGCCCATCACACTTATAGGAGCTTGTTGGACATCTAATTCCAAAACCATGTGCATTATCATGGACCTCTATCCCATTTTATGGCCTTTCCACAAGATGGTGAAGTGTGTCTGTGGCAATTTGTGTCCGTTTGAGAGGTCAGGAACTGATCCTCAATGCTAAAACCTGCCTCACAATCTACGTTCCAATTTCTCCCAAAGGTGTTGAGGTCAGGGCTCCATGCAGGAGACTCAAGTTACTCCACAACAAACTCAGACCATTTCATTATGGAGCTGGCTGTGTGTACAGGGCCAAGCCATTCTGAAACAAAAAAAGGTCTTCTCCAAACAGTTCCCAAGTATAGAAGACCACAATTGTCTAAAATGTTGTTGTGCTGTAGCATTAACGTACATTTCACTGGAAACACCTGAGCCCAGAATTTTAGAAGGGAGTCCTCATATTTTTGGTCATATAGAGTATGTTCTTACAGGCCCTGTAATGAATCAGAGGCAATCAATGCTATAATGTCTATAGACCCCACGGAACCTTACATTGGCACAGTCCTAGCCTGGCTGGATAACACAGTAGACAAAAAACCATATTCTGTGCTAACTCGGATTCCGTGCCACTTGACCCCATAGCAAATTGCCTGTGCCTGGGATATAGAGCTGGCATGTCTAGATTCTCTGTTTCAGAGGCTCATTGAGTGTGCAATGCTGAAATAAAACGTTGCTCATCATAGTGGAATATAAACAGGCACTGTTCTATTATATCTGGTCATTATTGTATATTTGTATATAAATGTGATGTATTTGTCATTTGAAACATTTTGATTGCTATGTATCATCTACATTACTGTCCCTTGTTTGTATCACTTGAAAAACTCAAAGGAAGACAATGGCTTAATATAAACCATTATTAATAAGCTACACTTAAAAAACAAGAAAACCCTAAATGAATGGCATTTAGTTTGCTAAAGCACTGTGTATCATAAATGACTTACATTTTTTTTATAATAAATAAATACGGTTTTCACCATTATTTCATGCATTTTGCATCTCTGTGCTGCTGATCTCCTGCAGCGATTCCCTGTGCACATGCACTCCAGCAATGACTGCATGGCATTTCTCTGGATTGGTTTCCTGATGGTGACAACAGTGTATCATACCGGTGCAATGTGAGTTGTTGCCCTCACAGGGTGACAACTTTGGAGCACAACTGGACTTCCAAATGTTCTACTTTCTCTGTTTCAGTCCTACTGCATGGTCAGTCTCCCCTGGTGGGGGGAGAACGTGTGTCCAGTTCTTTACGGTCAGTCGCAAAAGGCCCACAACATCATCTGTTGAACCGCACACAGTCCTCGATTCCCTGTGCACATGCACTCCAGCAATGACTGCATGGCATTTCTCTGGATTGGTTTCCTGATGGTGACAACAGTGTATCATACCGGTGCAATGTGAGTTGTTGCCCTCACAGGGTGACAACTTTGGAGCACAACTTAGACTTCCAAATGTTCTACTTTCTCTGTTTCAGTCGCATTCAGGGGCGGACTGACCATTTGGAAACTCGGGCACTGCCCGAGGGCCTGGGGTCAGTAGGGGGCACCATGAGATGCCCCTGGTACCTTTTTCCATAGGCTTTGTTGAGTTTTAGCAAGGATACAGGGGCCCAATGATCCCATATTGCCCGGGGGCCCCATGAGTTGTCAGTCCGCCCCTGGTCCCATTGCATAGTCAGTCTCCCCTGGTGGGGAGAGAACGTGTGTCCAATTCCTTATGGTCAGTCACAAAAGGCCCACGACACAGGGAAACAGGGACAGAGAGTTCTCATCCTAGAACAGGAAGTCCCTGAACAAGGACCTTCATGACACAATCACCAGGTATTATTTAATGAACTCTGCGGAGATTTACACATATTGATGACTTTTGGAATTACACAAGGTGTTAACTCGCACATCAGAATTTTGTGATGCAAGTTACATCTACTTTTTAATGCAGGGAAGTCATATTTTTAAGAAATATATCAAATATATGTATAGCCCAAACTTTTTTGTTTAGTTTTGGATAGAGTGGGGAAGGGTTAGAACCTCTGTCCATTTTTTTGTTTGTTTTGTTTTGTTTTTAAATTATGGCTTGTGTCTCAGCTGGGGACAGCTGGTTAACATCTCTATTTGTCCTGGTGACCACTGTCTCAGGGACTGAGCGAAAATCCAAAATTCCCTTTAGGCTACATTCACACTGAGTTGAGCATTTTTCAGGCACTTTTTTCAAGCATCTTTTCTGGCATTTTTAAGCATTTTATTTTACCAGATTTGCAAGTATTATAGGCATTTTTTTCAGCCGATTTTCATTTAGGCATTTTTGCTGTGGCCAATAGAAATAGATGCTGTTAGATGGGAGTTGCAGTAGTCGAGGCGTGAGATAATCAGGGAGTGTACGAGTAGTCTAGTGGTGTCTGGTGTAAGGAAGGTGCGTATCTTGGCAATGTTGCGAAGGTGGAGCCTGCATGTGTTTGTAAGTGATTTGACATGAGGTTGGAAGGAAAGGTTTGAGTTCAGAATGACGCCAAGGACTTTTGCTTGCGGGGCGGGATTGATGGTGGTGGTGTTGGTAGTGATGGATAGGATGGGGGGGGGCAGGGGGGAATACGAGAAGCTCGGTTTTGGAGAGGTTAAGCTTGAGGAAATGAAGCGACATCCACTCAGAGATGTCGTTTAGGAGGTAAGTGATGCGGGCGGAGAATGTGGGGGTGAGGAGAGGGGTGGAGAGGTAGACTTGGGTGTCGTCAGCGTAGAGGTGGCAGTTGAAGCCGTGGGAGTGTATGAGTTTGCCAAGGGAGGAGGTGTAGATGGAGAAGAGAAGGGGTCCAAGGACAGAGCTCTGGGGGACCCCAACAGAGAGGGGGAGGGAAGGGGAGGTGGCACCGTTGTAGGAAACGCTGAAGGAGCATCGGGATAGGTAAGAGGAGAACCAGGAGAGAGCGGTGTCTCTGATGCCAAGGGAGAGTAGTTTATTAAGGAGGAGGGGGTGGTCAACTGTGTCGAAGGCCGCGGAGAGGTCCAGGAGGAGGAGGACAGAGTAGTCGCCTTTGGCGGTTAGTAGGTCATTGGTGATTTTGAGGAGGGCGGTTTCGGTGGAGTGTAGGGGACGGAAGCCGGACTGTAGTGGATCAAGGAGGTTGTTGTCAGTTAGGTGGGCGCTTAGGCGGTCGTAGACTACGCGCTCAAGGAGCTTGGAAGTGAGTGGCAGCAGGGAGATGGGTCTGAGGTTGTTTGGGTCAGTGGGGTCCAGGGAGGGCTTTTTGAGTATGGGGGTGATGTGCGCATGCTTTAGGGGGGAGGGGAATATGCCGGTAGAGAGGGAGAGATTGAAGATGTGGGTGAGGGAGCAGATGAGGGAAGAGGGGGGTGACCGGAGGAGTTGAGAGGGGATAGGGTCCAGGGGGCAGGTAGTGAGGCGGGTTTCTGAGAAGACCCTGGTGACTTCCTCAGTGGTAGCAGTGGTGAAGTGGTAGGAAGAGTGGAGGAGTTCAGTAATTAGCTGAGGGCGGGGTAGGCTTCCCTGAAGAGATAGGTGTTCAGAGTGCGCCTAAAGGTGAGGAGAGTAGGTGCTAGTCTGATGGATTGGGGTAGGGAGTTCCAGAGGATGGGGGAAGCCCTGGAGAAGTCCTGGAGATGGGCATGGGAGGAGGAGACCAGGGAACTAGAGAGTAGGAGGTCTTGTGAGCAGTGGTGGTATTTGGAGACAAGATCGGTGATGTAGTTTGGGGCAGTGTTATGAACAGCTTTGTACATCAATGTTAGCATTTTGAATTTTATCCGTTGGGCAATCGGAAGCCAGTGGAGGGATTGGCAGAGAGGGGAGTAGCGGATACGGAGAGGTTAGTAAGGTGGATGAGTCTGGCCGCAGCATTCAAGATAGACTGAAGCGGAGATAGCCTGTGGTGAGGTAAGCCGGTGAGGAGGGAGTTACAATAGACAAGGCGTGATATATTAAGGGAGTGAATGAGTTGCTTAGTGGTTTCCGAGGTTAGGAACGGTCGTATTTTGGAGATGTTGCGGAGGTGAAGTCTACATGAGTTTGTCAGTGACTGGACCTGGGGCTAGAAGGACAGATTGGAGTCTAGAATGATGCCTAGTACTCTGGCTTGAGGGGATGGACTGTTGGTGGCGTTGTTGGTCTTGATGGAGAAGTCGGGGGGGGGGGGGCGCGGGCTGGGGGGAAAACTAGGAGCTCAGTTTTGGAGTTACTGACATAATCAGACTACTAGGGAGGCTACATTCAGCTTTACTTATAAGCTATACATAATCTTTAAATACAGCCTTTACATCAATCACCCATTCAACATGTTTACATTACATGTCCTTCCATACAGCCAATGCAATTGAATGGGAATAATGTCTGGAATGCTGTGGTGTTGCAGAGCAGAATATTCTGCAGAGACTAGGAGGGGGCTAGGATTCATAGAACGCTTCCACTATGTTCGCTGTTGATGTAAGAACACAGTTCATTGATGAGAAGATCGGGGTATGAGTCATTTTCTGATGATTCATATGTCGCCCCCCCTTCCTCTGTCTATGACTCACACTGTACTAACATCCCCCCCCCCCCCATCTACATTGGTGGTATCAGGTA